AATAATAATAATAATGGTAATAAAACACTTACAATTTTGTATCCTAATATAGCATATGAAACCATTATTAATCCATGGTATGAGTATGTGCACATTGATAAGATATATATTTTTTAACACAAACATCACAAATGGTAAAACACACTAATAATCATGATAACTTAACAAGTTGTCGAAACTATGTATTTACTCTTTGGAGTTTAGGATAGAAATGCCACATTTTTCTCAAAGCAGTTTTTAGCATGTGTTGATATTTTTTGGAAAATTTAAAAGGCGATGGGATTTTGTTATTTTTTAAGGAATTTTGACACGCTATTAAGAAACCACGTGTTCGTTTCGATAAGGGCCGTATTGTCATTGCGTTTATTTATGACTCTGTCGTTATGTAATTGTAAAAACAACCCCTCAGCGAATCTTCTTTTAATTGTATTCTCTTCAAAATGTAAAATTTTAGGGTTAAAAAAATCGATATTATGATTTAAATTTTTAATATGCTCAGTTAACATTGTTTTAAATTGCTTAGGATTTTTTGAATTATTTTTGTGTTGATTAAGGCGTTTACTCAGGTTTTGGCTAGTTTCTCCAATATAAAAGAGTTCGCAATTAGAGCAATTAATTTGATATACTAAATTCCTGAGGCGGTCAAAATTGAACTTAGATTTCATTTGTGTAAAAATTGAACTAAGGGTTGCATCACAATTACATACCAACAGAATGCCACATTGTTGAAATAGTTTTTTCCACGAGAAATATAAATCTTTTACGTACGGTAGGCAAATGACACCAGTATATGATTCTAAGTCTAAGCGGTTTTTATGATCTGTGAGGTCTTTTTGTTTGTTAAAAATGTAACTGCGTCTGTTATTTATGACCGAGTTGATTATGTTCGTAGGATATGAGTTGTTTTTCAGTGTGTTTATAACCAGGTCAATGTTCGTGTCCCAGAAGTTTTTGTCAGATAGTAATATGGCGTGGTCTGTTAAATTTATTATTGTCGCAATTTTCATTTTAAGAGGGTGGTATGAGTGGTAATTTATGTATCGTCCGGAGCTAGTTGGTTTCTGGTACCAGTTAGTAATTAGTCGGTGGTCATTTGTACGTATGAGTCTGATGTCTAGAAAGCTAATCGAATTCATTGTCTCTAATTCTACGGTAAACTGTAGTTTTTTATTAAAATTGTTAAAATTATCAGTAAATATGTTAATGTCTTCTTCCGGAATACAAGTAATGATATCGTCTACATTACTTGTATTCCGGAAGAAGACATTAACATATTTACTGATAATTTTAACAATTTTAATAAAAAACTACAGTTTACCGTAGAATTAGAGACAATGAATTCGATTAGCTTTCTAGACATCAGACTCATACGTACAAATGACCACCGACTAATTACTAACTGGTACCAGAAACCAACTAGCTCCGGACGATACATAAATTACCACTCATACCACCCTCTTAAAATGAAAATTGCGACAATAATAAATTTAACAGACCACGCCATATTACTATCTGACAAAAACTTCTGGGACACGAACATTGACCTGGTTATAAACACACTGAAAAACAACTCATATCCTACGAACATAATCAACTCGGTCATAAATAACAGACGCAGTTACATTTTTAACAAACAAAAAGACCTCACAGATCATAAAAACCGCTTAGACTTAGAATCATATACTGGTGTCATTTGCCTACCGTACGTAAAAGATTTATATTTCTCGTGGAAAAAACTATTTCAACAATGTGGCATTCTGTTGGTATGTAATTGTGATGCAACCCTTAGTTCAATTTTTACACAAATGAAATCTAAGTTCAATTTTGACCGCCTCAGGAATTTAGTATATCAAATTAATTGCTCTAATTGCGAACTCTTTTATATTGGAGAAACTAGCCAAAACCTGAGTAAACGCCTTAATCAACACAAAAATAATTCAAAAAATCCTAAGCAATTTAAAACAATGTTAACTGAGCATATTAAAAATTTAAATCATAATATCGATTTTTTTAACCCTAAAATTTTACATTTTGAAGAGAATACAATTAAAAGAAGATTCGCTGAGGGGTTGTTTTTACAATTACATAACGACAGAGTCATAAATAAACGCAATGACAATACGGCCCTTATCGAAACGAACACGTGGTTTCTTAATAGCGTGTCAAAATTCCTTAAAAAATAACAAAATCCCATCGCCTTTTAAATTTTCCAAAAAATATCAACACATGCTAAAAACTGCTTTGAGAAAAATGTGGCATTTCTATCCTAAACTCCAAAGAGTAAATACATAGTTTCGACAACTTGTTAAGTTATCATGATTATTAGTGTGTTTTACCATTTGTGATGTTTGTGTTAAAAAATATATATCTTATCAATGTGCACATACTCATACCATGGATTAATAATGGTTTCATATGCTATATTAGGATACAAAATTGTAAGTGTTTTATTACCATTATTATTATTATTGTTTTTCCACAAAATTTCCTTTCATATAATTTATTTAGTTTCAATTTTTATAGTTAACTTGATTACCACTGAATGATGGCTAAGATGCTAGCCGAAACGTATGGATTTTAAATAAATAAATTTTTAAAAAAAACTCATACTATTTTTATTGATGTTACGCCTGATTATTAAACTCAAATTAAACATATATATCAACATCAAATTCAAGACTATTCAAAAATATATATATATATATATATATATATATATATATATATATATAGTATAGAAGTTTGTTTGGAAAATTTTCTAGAATGATTCATAGAAATATAGTTAGATTGTAGAAATAAATGGAAAAAATTACAAAAAACCGCTTATCATTGTTTGACCTTTAAAATATATAAGGCATGGTTTGACTTTTAAAACAAATGACAACTGTCATTTGCCAAACATTTCTATTCACTTATATGCTAAGGCAATATTAAAATATAATAAATTCATGATTATAAATAAAGAAAATGTAATGTCTACATTACTATTGTCGAAAAGTCGCTTTGCCTTACTATACTAAGTCACAATACAAAAAAAATTATTTAGAAGTTTCATTGTGTCAAAAATTCATATGGTTGGCATTTTGTATGGAATATTTACTCAATGGAGCGCTTTGGGTCTGATCTTTTTTTTACTGCTTTCCAATTCGTTTGGAATTTTGGAATTAGGCTCATCTTACTCTCAAGTTCAAAAGTGAAAACAATTTAGACTCCTTTGCACTACCCGGGGGGATGCCATTTCTTTTCAGTGGTGTAATAACGTTGGGTGTGGATAAAAGAACTAATTATAAGAGAAAAATGTTCAATAATGTTTTTCAAAAAAAGCAAATACTTTTCAAGTTACTGGCTACTGAAAATTTGTTTCTTTTTTGCATTTTTCATCGTTTTTTGCTAATATCTTCAAAAATATACATTTTAACGATAATCATGTAATGAACAAAATTATATCAATTAAAATCCTAATAAATTGCTATTTTACAGTGTTCTAGGAACAATATTAAGTTAATTATGGAAATGGGTTTTTATAGTTCTCAAAATAAGCTTTAAAAGAAGTACTTCTGCGTGTAAAATGAGTGAGCTATCATGCAATTAAAAGACGCATACAATGTTTTTTTTTTTCATTTACATCAAATAGTTTATGAGTGCCATTTCCACCAACATTAAAAATAATCGTTTTCCATCTAGAATTAACTTGGTTTGAGAGATCTTGATGGATTCTAGAAAATACCATAACATTAGTACAAACAATTTTCAAAAAACTCATGATTTCATAAAAAAATCTATTTAAAAAAACAACCAATTTCTCATTATAATATCTCTGAAAGAATACGTGTAAAAGTATGTATATGAAAATTCAAGGTATTTTTCTGACTAATTATTGCTTTTTATTATTTTTTTGTTACACAAATATTGATAGAGTTCTAATTGTTTAAAGAGTGCGCGGCTGTTCAACCGGAGTTCTTTCGAGCCCTTTAACCCTTCGCCGTTTCAAAATAAGAGAAGTTACGGTAAAATTTATGATAGAGAAAGTTGTAACTCATTTAATCACCTTTAAAATAGTATATTACAAGTTAGGATAAAATCAGAATTATAATTTATAACAGTTATAATCCAATTAATGCGGGGGGTGGTGACGAAATGCAAATTGTTTTCACTTCTGAACTTTAGATTAAGATTAGCTGGGCATACGCTTTTTTCCTATCTATTTACTGCAATAATTTTGTTGATAGTAGGTTGAATAAAGCACATGTGAACAAAATTTGACAAAATAATTCACTTCAAATATGAACTTAAGTAATAATGTATATTGAATTATTAGTGTGAAAAATGCAATTTAGATATTAAAATACTAAAAGCCAGTTAAAATATGGTACGAAATTATAAAAATTGTAGGCAACATTATTGAAGCAATTATTTTGGGTAGAAAAATCCAAGATGATATTGTACCTTGACCGCGCATGCTATGTATATATTAATTCTTTCTGAATTTGTTATACTTTTTTAAAAGATTTCAATTTTCAACACGTGTATCTATGCTATGACAATAAATGCAATGTTTTAGCTGTGAATAAACAAAAAATCATTCATTTTAACATCCACATCTACAGGAAATATTGTATAACCCTTAAATTCAATAAAATAAATTGAGCTAATGGAAACAAATTTGTTCTATAAATTGCAGTGTATAATTTTTAATATATAATTTTATTGAACATATTTTAATATTTATCAAAGGGATAATTAAAGTGTTAACTGTGGGAATTAAAAATAATCATTTTATTTGAAACAGTACTACATTTAACATCACCCATATATTGGCGTGTAAATAGTAACTCGAAAAACAATAATGATTATTTTTAACTGAACGGTATAAATATTAGTATAGGATATTAAAAAAACATAGAGGTGGGTACAGGGCAACGTCTGTCAGGTCATCTAGTATATATATATATATATATATATATATATATATATATATATAATATGCATCAAATATCTACCTGGTTTTATCTAACACATCATATAAAACATTCACATTAGAATTCTGCACATTTTCTTTCTGTAAACAAGCTACTTTATCTTGCAATTCTTGAATTCGAATCTTGGTAGTAAAACAAAAATCTTCATAAGCCCCTATAGGTAAATAAAAAAAAATAGCCATAACATATGCAAGTATGTTCAGAAAACCATAACAAACAAAGAATTAAATTAAATTTAATCTGAATATTACCGATAAACTCAATATTACTATATCATATTTTGTTCATTTTCCATGAAAAATTCAATTTTTCGCATAACCTAATACAATTAAAATAAGTTTTCCATAAATGCAATTTAACAGTGCCATGTGTTACATACTAAGAAAATATTTGTTAACTACTACATACTGTGAAATCGATCATCCTCCAGGCCAATAGTCATTAACAGATCATTTAACTTTGTGTTAAAACTTATGACCTCAGTTCTTACTGAAATATTTTCTCTGATAGCTTTTGAAAACTGCCGTCTCATCTATAATTAACAATATGTATAGGTATGGCATTGCTATGAGCAAGTGCACTAAAAATTAAACCGAATATTTAATTAAATATCATACACATAGTTTTTTAGCCAAATAAAAATTATAGAAATTGTGTCATTTAATTCCCATTCATAATTATATCATGTATAAATATTTCCAGCAACAAATAATAATGTTTTCTTTTGTAAAAAATTAAGCATTTTATACCTCTATGCATGAAGCTTTTTGTTGACGAACAATATGTTCGAGTTTCAATCGTCTGTCATTTACTTCAGCAAATAGTGAATTACCTCTTTCCTCTAAAATAAATGTTATTCAGAAATTGTTTCCAATACATTTTATAAATGAATGTGATTAATTCAGCCTACCATGCTTTTCAATTGGTTTGCTATTTTGATTCACTTGTACTATAGATAACTGTTCTTGCAGTTCAAGAATATGTTCTTTTAATTGATCAATCTCGTGCTTTTTATAATTCAAGTTTTCTTTGGCACAAGAAGATTCTTCATTAAGAATATCGCACCTTTCCTAAAATAAGTTCAAAATAACTCATTCTATAGCATAGTAAACCATTATAAGAATAATATAAATATTATGTAAATAAAAATAAAAATATATAATTCAAATACAGCATTTTAAAAATTAAATGCTGTAAGAATTATATGATCTGAACATGAATCTAAATTTAATGGTGTACACAAATAAAACAAGATATATGTTAAACACACTTGTATATTTTTTCTGCAAGGCAAAAGAGACAGATAATTAACTAAAAATTACAGTATCAACAAAAGGAAGAGTGACAAAATTTCATGAAGGTAGTTTTCCATGTGATCTGTATCAATAAAAAAATATATTGCGAGCGATCGCAAATATAAATTTCATTGCAAAAAAATAGATACATGAAAATTACGGTAGTACAAAAAAATGCTTAAACAATGGCATTGAATAGCACTTATTAGTTAGTCATAATAAAAAAAAATACATAAATGATTTAATGTGTGTTACTTTTAAAGAAAATTTAATTCTTTGAACGTAGCGCCCAAACTTGTGCTAGCACTTTGTCCCATATAACACAGATTCACATAAGTGGTAGTTTTTTTTAACGTAACTACCGTGTTATACTTGTACTTGTATAAATATTTACCTTCAGCTGCCTATTTTCTAACATAGTATTATCAAGTACTTCTGTCAGTTGTAGCAATTTCTGCTCATTTAAAACTTTAATTTCCTCCAATTGTGTTTGATGTTTTAACTCCAATTCACTTACGGTATTTCGGGTCATAGATTTTATAGATTCTAATTTATTGAAAGTTTCAGCTAGTTTATCACGCAGCTCCTTATTCTCTTCGCAAACAGAATTATTGTGGGATTCATAATCATTCACAACGCCAGACAATTTTTCATTTTGTTGCTGTATAAGAGTGTCATATTTAAGAGTTAAGGCTTGAATTTTGTTCTCGTACGAATTCGTTATCAAATCCACTTCGCTGTAAAGATCATCCTGAACTGCTTTTAAGGCAATTTCACTTTTTCTCAAAGAATAATTTTCCTGCTCATACTTTTCACATTTTGCTTGCAAGTTTTTCAACACAGTAATTAGTTTGTCGCGATCACATAAAAAATCTTCACCGCATACATGATCATCCATTATTATTCAACTATAAATGATAAAAGAATAAAATTGTTGACAGCGATAAATCTAACGAACGCAACGATTTAAGACAGCGGGAACAACGACTGCGTCAAACTGTCAAAAAGAACTAAAATGTAGTATGACCTGATGAGGTTTTGAGGTAGACTTTAGGTGGTGTTCATTTGTGGCACAAATTTCAAATTAGTCATAAAATCAATCACTACACTTGCTAAATTTAATAGCTTTAAGAAAATTTTGAATTAACATATAACAAGTATAGCTATGAATATGACAAAACTATATTTAAAACATTATGGAGGTTGAAATATTATTTTCGGTTTGTCGTTGTTTATTCTTGTTAAAACAATAATTTATTCGAAATATATATGTGACGTTTATTCATATAATATTATTAGCATTAATTATAATTTATAGTACATAAGAAGAATGCAATTATAGATGATCAAGTTCAATGAATATATATATATATATATATATATATATATATATATATAATATGACAAAATAAAATATGTTAATAAACATTTTAAAATAAAAGTTATCAATTCTTCTCACAAGGAAGGAACTCATAAGAATTCGATTTAACATCGCTTTTTCAGAGAATCCTTGTAGTCAACTGTAAAAGCTTCAGAAAATTCTTTTACTATTTTCTCCATATTTGCTTTAGCTAATGCTTGCTTCTTTTCCATAAGATTTTGATAATTTCTCTGTGATCCTTCGACAGACTGTACATACTTCTTAATGCCTGCTCTAAGTGGCGGATAATTTTCATGTAGCATACTTCTTCTGACCTATAAAAAAATAAAAATATTGAAATATTGTTTGAATTTTAACATTTTTATTAACTTCCCGGTGATGTTCATTTTCGCGATAAAAAAAAATTTGCTATATTAGATATATATATATATATATATATATATATATATCTTGAGGATTTTTTGTTCGACGTAGATGTAGAAAGTTTACTTTAATTTTTTATACGTTTCGAGAGTAGATGTGTCTCATCATTCAGCTAAAAGAAATTTACGTTATAAAGAAAAAATTTTAAAAAATAAATTTATACATTAGAAAAATTAATTGAAAAACCGAATTATACACACCCGATCAGGAAAAACCACACTTTGCTATCACATTTTTCAACACAAAAATCACATGCTAATACTGTAGGAAAACAAAAATATAAATTTCAAATCATTCTGAATTGCTTGACATTAAAATCGATCGTGTTTATGAGAGTACGAGGCCAAAAAAAAAAATTGTCAGCGTTTCCTAAATACGGCTGCATCGATTTCAAAAATTTAGAAGTAATTTGATGGTACGATAAGATGTTGATAAGCTATTTTTTAGAATAAACAAAAAAGTGCAAAATTTTTCGTCCACGACTTTGGAAATAATTTCGATAAAGATTCGAATCTTCGTGAGGATAATTTCGATTAGGTTTTGGTAAAGATCAATCGGGCCGTTTCTTTGTAATAAGTATTATAATAATTGATAATTTTTTTGACAATTTTGATAAAGTTTTATAATAACAGATTTCATAGTCTTAACGCAAATACTAAAATATTATACCTACGAACTGTAGTTTAATAATAAAAATTCATCAATGTTTCAAAGTCAATATTTCAAAATGCTATCGTTACAATTAGAAAAGTTGCTAAAATGTAACTTATTCTTAATAATTAAATCCATTGTAAAGTTTTTGCAACTTGCCTTAAAGTAAAACACCTACCTTGTTTTACTTGATATCTAAATAGAATAATATGTAATTTTCATATACTATTTTATGCTCTTGTATGAAGAAATACAACATTTGATTTTGACTTTGAGCAATTATATTGTGAAAACAAAACCAATTTTATCACAACAAATAAACGTATAAAACAAACAACTATCTGACTATGTTCAGTAAAACTCCCAGCCAATTCATCATTGTAGAAATGTGTTATTTGCTGTTTTTTTTTAATTTAATCTGGTCCTTTATTATATATTATTAAATATATATAATAATTTGTACCTTTAGAACTCCTCCACAGACGTTCAACTGCTTCATAATCGCTTTTTCGTTTCTTATTGCTAACGCTAGTTGAGGTTTCACTTGACAAATTTTTCTATTCACCTGACTAAGAAATTTTAGTCTTGTAATTTGTCTAAAAATTAAACATTTTGACTTAAAATAATACGTTTAAATTTTTATATTTAAAATAATATAAATATAAATATATATATATAACATTTCCACTCATATCCACTCATATCACAAAATTCTATATAGATATATATATATATATATATATATATATATATATATATATATATATAACAAACATGAGTTACCGGGATTTTTTAACGTTTTCGGTGATATCGTTTAGGGTTTCAGTAATGGCGGCTGTGTAACTTTCAACGATTTTTTTTTTATCTTCTAAAATATTATCAATTTGCAATCCCACGCCACCTAATATATCAGCAAATACAGTATTTTCATTAACCTCGGCTACACTGTGATTTACTTCAGTATCGGCTAATCCAACTGAGATGTCACCATCAGAAGTTGGTTCATCCTTTACCGTTGACGTTTTAGATAAAGATGTTTTTGGTTGCACAAAGTCGTTATTGAAAACCTTTGATTTTGAATATTTCATTGGCTTTGGAAAGTTTAGAGCATCCTTGTCCACCATTTCGAGTTTTTCTAATGTAAAATTACTAAACGACTATTATATAATAAGAACTTGCATCTGTTTCTATGGCTGACAATTCACTGAATTTAGATAAGTATAAACCGCCAATTTCAACACAGTCGGGCAATCATCATTCCCATTGGCCGAATGTTCTGAAGGCACATGGAAGGCACTGAACGCCAATTTCAAACATATCACTTTCAGAAGTGTGCTGTGCAAGAATTTTTAATTACGTTTATTTCATTTGAGTGAATGCTATAACTAATTTATTTTACCTTAAATTAGAAAATTCATGTCTTACTGAACGTTATTCATTAGTTGTTATTTTTTGTGTATCATCGAAATATATCTTGTAAACTAATTTGTGACAAAACAATATATATTCCTAAACAGACTTAATTATTTTTTGTGTTAAACAGAGGTCATCATTATTATTCATATTTCATTATTATCTAATGATGTTAAATAAGTTAATATATCAATATTATGATCTAAATCGACTAAAGTTAATATCGATAAATTTAAGTAATTCATAATCTGATTTACATCTTGTCGTCAGATGGTGACTCTTGCATATGTCGCTTAAATTACATACATTTTGACAGTTGATGCTTATTTTATCTGTTAAAAAAAAAAATTGTTTCGTTATTAATGTGTCTAAAATAGTATAATAAAATATATAAACATGGCAGAAGAAGGCGATGCGGTTAGTAATTGTAGATTACTATTACGAAATAAATTTTGAGTAATGTATTTATTATTTTCATAGGTTATGGCGATGACTGTAAAAGAACCTCTGGATTTGATCAGACTAAGTTTAGACGAAAGAATTTACGTTAAAATGCGGAATGAGAGAGAATTACGTGGAAGACTTCATGTAAATAGTTTAAATGATTTTTTTTTAATTTTTATCAATAAATTAAATTAAGTTTACATAAAATATTAAACTTTTTTATGCACAATAAAATATTATTATTGGCACAATCTCAGAAATAATGACGATTTACTTTCTCATTTATTATTCTAAAAGACAGTTTTGTTCTTTAATATCCATTGAATTAACTCTTTGTCATGCGTAGCCAATCTGACAGATACACAACCAATAGTTTAGTATGTTGCGTCATGATTTGATCTTAAAAAGGCTCCCGGTGCTTATAAGCCTCATAATTAGTTTATCTTTGAATTTCAAATATTTTGCCAATTGGATAGTTGTCGCAAGGGATGCATTATGCAAATGCTATTTGACATGTGAAATAACAAAAAACACAAAAATTTCAATGTCTCGATTATTTATGCAGTTTTGTATAAAGTTCCAACATCATCTGAATTTTTTTTTATTCAATAAATTATATTATTTATTTCATATATCTTTTATGAAAATTAAAATATAATTGGTTTTTCTTTTTATTTTGTTGAAATACATTTCATATTTTGCTGCTTTTAATTAATTTTGTTTCATATATTATGCAATTCAATTCCAAAATGTTTCAGCTTTGACAATTGGTTTATAATTGTTGGTTTTACTTATATATTTAAATGATTTAAAAAAGTGAAGTCAATATTTGTGTAGATATAAGGTTTCATAAAATTATTTTCAATATGAAATTCAATTATTCTCAAATTTAATTTTCATTAATAATTAGGCCTTTGATCAACATCTCAATATGGTACTGGGAGAGGCAGAAGAAACTGTTACATCTGTTGAAATTGATGAAGAAACTTATGAAGAAGTCTATCGTACCACTAAAAGAAGTATTCCAATGTTATTTGTGCGTGGAGATGGTGTAATATTAGTATCACCGCCAATGAGAATTGGTGGATAGAATTTATATTTCTTTAACATTTGATAGTTGTTGTGTAATGTATATTTAAATATAAGGTTTTGTACCTGCCTTATAACGTACTGGAATGAGTACATTATTTTTATGAAATATTAAAGAAGTTTGATGGGGCATTTACACAATTATGATTCCTTTGTCCTATCTTAATCTGAATTAATTGATAATGATTTCATGTACATACACCTATCTCTCGTTTTGCATAGAAGATACGTTCCAAAAAAAAACGTGTAACTCAAAAACTTACTTTTGTATCGAAAAACCGTGCTAAACGAAAATCACTATAAAAAGCTTGTTTTGTCAGTTTTTAATATGATCAATAACAAATACATTGAATGAAAAATAAATCATACATTTAATAAAATATTAGAATTTTAATTTATTTCTATAAATAAAACTATTTTTAATATAGCATTTTCTTTGTAGATAAAAAGTAAAATTGGTTTGTAAAGTTGTAACCTTTCTTTTACTCTCTAGTTTTTTATTTTCATTTTTTGCCATTGTCAGACTATAATTTTTTATTATAAATTATAGATTTTGTAAAAAATGTTTGTTTTTTGCTCACTTTGAATAAACTTTTGCTATCAATTATATATATATATATATATATAAACATTAATTAGGAACAAAGTTTAAAAACAGTGATGCTCTTTATTTTGATATTTTAAACAATATAGCTTATACACACATAAAATTTAGTTTTGATCATGAAACGGAGAGTTTTTGTTTTATCTATATATTTCCATCATAGACATAGATTACTTAGAATTCATATAAATTGTTGTACACCCCTGATATTATAAGTTGCTAACCACTGTCATAATATTAGATTCCTAACAAGTCCAGACTGAAATCTTAGAACCCCTGAGCTTTAGCTGATATTAACGGTTCATATTAACTTTTCTCAGACTACTGCGTAGTAGCTGACATTACACATTCTCTCGCGAAATCATAAATCTACATCGACAATTCTCAGCAAGATCCTATTATCGACATTCCGCCTAGTTAACAATTCTCACCAAGTTCGCATGAATAACATTTTGTTTAATCAGCTAAATTCATTACTTTGTCCTTTTCGTTGTATAGAACATTCGAGACAAATCCCCACTACGTTTCAAAGGATTTTAGTTTTATTAATTATGAAATAAAGCAGTCTTAATCTGTCGGTCGCCGGGCAAACACTTCTCTTCCAATACCTCCGAGTTCCTTGTACTTAAAGTGAAATAAAGTGAAGTTTTTGAAATAGTCTTTTCATTTATCAATTTCAAGTATTTTCAGCAAGTGAGTTTTCAGGAAAGTCGGAAGGTCCAGAGCAACAACACCGATTTGCATATAGCGGCGCCAACACCCCTTTTCTGTTCATCAACGCGGTGTCCAACATATTAATTGGTGACAGCGGTGTTTGACTCCCAACAAAATATACTACAAAATATATTTTGTAGTGTTATATTTTGGTAGTAAAAGTAAAACAATGAAAATGTTATTGTAGATACAAATAAATTATTGTTTAGTTTTTATAATTTCGTGTAAATGCAAAATTAATAAATTTCGTAAAAGTTTTTTTTTCAAAAACCGTGTAAGATTTTTTTCAAAACAGCATTAAGCGAAGTGTAAGTAGCATTTACGGGCAATTTGCTTGAAACTCTGATATGTATAAATAAACAACTGAATCAATAACTTTTGAAAATAATGTTTACTACTAACTAATCAATGCGATTTTTCGATTATTATTAAGTTTCAGCAAATGCGCTTATATGCCATAAAAGCGCATTATTATAAACTTTAATGAATTTTTATACTTCAAATACGTTTTTTAGGACTGTAATGTTTTGGATGTTGGTTTGGAGTCCAAACTTTGGACCATGAACATTTTCACCATATTAAATTTCATTGAAAACGTAAAATTATTTTTTAGCATTTAATTACGAATAAACTGCTCAACTGACATTTGCCGAGACTAATCATCAGTACGATTTCCAATTAATATCTTTGAAACAGTTTTCAAGATTCCAAAACCGGTACAGGAATTTTTGCGAAAACTTTGACAAAAAACCTCGTAGTCTTCTGTTATTTCTAAAAAAGCAATAGCTCTTAAATTATTGAAATCGGTTGGTTTTTGAAAAACGTCGACGAAAGGTCAAAATTTTTTTAACTCACATATACGCGCACATACACTCATAAATGCATATTTTTTACAATTTTACTTTCAAGCGATTCAGAGTAAGTTTTCACGTCGAAAAAACAAAATTAGCATGTAAAGTTTCCTGGCGAAAACATACAATTTTCTGTTTTGAGAAGTTAATAATAATAAATTTAAATAAGTTTTATTTATTAAAACGTATTATAAACATTATAAGCTTTATTATAATATATATTATATCTAGTATTTAATAAATATATATTATATTTACTAGTATTTATTAAAATAAATATTTTTTCCTATATGATAATATTATTTATATCATAAAAGGTATATAAGATTTAATTCGCTTAACTTAAAATTTAGGTAATCTATCTTTAAGAGCAATGCGATTCATTTTATCTGTTAATATTAATCTGTTTATTTTTTCTGAAGTCAATTTTCCTCCATCTTGTTCAGCAGCGTGGAAAGCTTTAGTAATTAGTTGTTTACTTGCTTTCGGTAGATATGTAGGGAATGTTACTGCAATACATAAAATATTAAATTATTTTTTTCTAATAAACATTATAAAAAATAAATGTGCTAAATATATCATGACTTGTATGTTATCTGTAAAAGATTTGAAAGAACAAAGTTTCCTTATTATATATAGGCAAACTGTTTAATACAAAGCCAATAATAATTTATACGAACCACTAAATTTAATAATTAAATCTCCTTTTAGTTTAGGATCTTCTATTCGAGGCATTTCTTCTCCGACTTCTCATATGTGGGACTATAAATAAATTTATAACGGAAAATTTCATTAGCATGTGTTTAAATGTTGATATTATTTAGAAACTAAGTTCAAATAGTCAATAATAAATAACTTGTTTTTATTATATACATAATTATTACTTTATGACGGTAGTTATAGGAACTCGAATGATTCTTCTGTCTAAGGTGTGTACTGCAACGCTGGTACCGCATAAAGCATCTTTAAGACCAACTTTAACATCCATAACCAAATGCGCGCCGATTCGCGAAAACCCTTCGTGAGGTCGATCCGTTATTACAAATATTATGTCAGCTGTTGCAAAAATATAATTTTAATAAAAGTAAAACATGACTTTATTTCTTGGCAAAAAAACTACGAAAGTATCATATAATTTTTCCTATTACAATTAACA